ACGCATGAGACTGAGTCACTCCGAAAAAGTTTATATGGCTTGCAACAAACGAACTGGTCGTTTCTCTTCTTTTTCACATCACAACTTGTTGACTCAATCAATGCATTCAAGCATGAACGGCTGATTCTTCCCCAGCAATCAGGACGCTGTGCCGCGATGCATTCAGGACTCGGATGTAGACGCTGGCATCTTTGCCTTCTTTGTACAAGTGAGGAAGCCGCCGCAAATCTTTGATCAATTCTGGCACCACTTCGTCCACAAAATCTGGCGGCATCTCAAACATCAGGAACACGTCTCTGGAGCGCTCTTGGATCAATCCCAGCCTTGATTGCTTGTAGGCCAAATGCCTGGTTACAACATTGCCAGTGATCTCGGTGCTTGCACCTTCAACCACATAATTCACCTCCCCAACATCAACTTCCACTGGAGGACCGCTCTCATCCTTGTCAAGTGCCAGAAACCTATCTCCACGCTTTGAGAGACCCAAGCGCAAGTCACCAGGCATAGCCTCCAAGTCGAAGCCACCGCCTGTGATCACGTGCTTGATGGACAAAGTATTGTAAAAATCGACCAATGGGTTCACACTGAAACTCTTTCCCTTTTGTTCGAGTCGTGACCACATAGCTTGGACTGATTGGACAGGAGGATCCCGACGCGCACCCTTTGTCAAGAAAAGGCTGCTAGGTCCACGGTCTTGCAAATCGCTGGTGTAGCGCTTCCAGACTTCAAGCCGGCCCCGCTTCTCCAGTTTTCTGTCTCCGATCATCTTGCAAACAGACTCAAAGTGCCCACGCAGGACACCTTCTTCATCGATGTTGCGTGCATTGGTCACCAAAGCAGTGACTATGTGCAGCCCTGGAAGTTTTTTCAAAGACACCTTTTTCAATGGAGAAGGTCTTGCAGCGAGTTTGCACAGCACCAGGCACGGAGTCTTCCTCAAAGACTTGTAGGCTGGGTTTCTTCACTTCGTACTTGAACTCCTGCTTCGATTCATTAAGGGCAAGGGCTGCAAAGGAAGCGTAACGTTACTACTGGCGCAAGACTCGAACCTTTCAACAGATTCTAGACGACATCTAAACGGAGCGGTCGAAAATCAAAGAAGAAAAATACCGTCCTCCTCTTCAAAAGCCTGCTGCTTCTCGATGTAGGCCATATTCACGGGGCTGTGCTCCAAGAATTCCACTTGCACCGGTCCATTGTCACAAGAGCTGCGAACATTACCTGCTTTTTTGACTCTGTCGATCCACTTCCTCACTTCCGGGAATGGATATTTGGAAAGGTCATGGCCTCCTGCCTCCACCTTCTCCAAAGCAGTGAAATCGTCAACGCTCGGCTCTTCCGTACCGCGCAGGAACGTGTGTTTTTTGCAAATGCCCCTCCAAGATGCGCAACCCAGCGCCACAGTTCAAGTAGTAGAGCTTCAAATGCTGCATGGCTCTGCTCACACAATACGGCGCTAAGGCTACTAAAATACTTCTAAGGGCTGAGATGGGCTGAGAGAGGTGAAGGTGCGTGTCTTCAAGCACGGTCACAAGTGTCTAAACTAAACGTCACTGGAAAATGACCAATCGCAAGACGACATGTTTCAGGATCCATTTGAGCACAAATCCGCTATTCTCACAGCGACACTTTTTCTATCTTTTGTTGGGCTCTGCGGAATCACACGCTGTCTTGGAAGCAGCTCTCTGTCGCGATCAAGTTCCAAAGATCAAAGCTACCAACTTTGAATCCACTCAAGTCACACAAGGTGGCATCACCCGCTTCAGGCAGATGCAACCAAACAAACAGCAACGCCAAGCTTTTGGCAACGTGTGAGCCTGGGCCTGAGATAAACCTAAAAAACTTCCAACAAAAACAACAAAGATTCCCAAGGTCTCTTCCATACAGGTCGCGAAGAAAACGTTTGAAGCTGCCGACAGTCCAGCAACACATATGCGCAGCCAACACACCATCTTTCTACATTCCTGTCATACGAAAATGATGACAATTCCGTGAAATGGGCGCTGGCTTCACAGGCACTTGTCCACTTCTGTGCTGGTGTGGACTCACCTCCTAGCAAATGCTCTGAACTACGAAGCACTGCAGCGCTTTGACCCCAGAACCTTGGCGTTAGAGCTAGCTGCAAGAACTATCTACCGGTTAAGTCCACGAAAAACCATCGCTCACTGACACTGGGGAGCCTGCTGCAGCTACTGCGTCCAAAAGAAACATGTTCAAAGGCAGGGGCCTTCTGAGCAACTTGCTTCAAACTGCGTCAGAAACGCCCAGACAACGCTTAACACCAGAGAGCCACCAAATAAGCGCGACAAGTCAAATATTCTATATTCATCTATATTCCTACTTTGTGACTGTGTTTTTGCAACTGAGGGTCAATATTGGCTCAAAAGTGCACGGCCAATTCCGACACCCCAGGGGCAAGCAACTTGTTTCAAGCTGCTCGTGCTGAGTTCAATGCCTTCAGTAAAAAACCTGCGGGCATTTGTTTATCAACCCTTTTGCGGTGCAGGTTTCAGCGTAGTCGAAGGTGTTGCTCCGCATCAGCTTTTCATGCAAGGTCCTCAACCTCAGCGCTTAGACCCTCTTGTTGAGACATGACTCAAAATCTTTTAAGCATCTTGGAGCAAGGCGCAGATCAACTTAGGCTTGAGCATGTAAAAAGGGATCTGCGGATCCAAATGGTGAAGCGTGTGATATCCATCGTTCATTGGGTGCAAAACCCAATGATGGAAAACCCCGATGTTGCTTCTCGTCATTGTCCAATGTTTGCGAAGATAATCATCAAGGTGTTCACCACTTTGAGGGTCTTTGATCAAGCCACTGTGTTCCTTCATGCAAGCTGCGACACCCCGACCATGGTCCAAGCTCCAACGACGTGAGGGGGAGGTTTAGGAGCCAGCGGTAGCTAAAGATAGTTTGGTAAACCAGGAGTTCACATATCCGGCCCAGTGCAAACCAATGCAGCAAAATAGCAACTTGACAGTTTTTTGCCCCTATTCAAAACTGCAACGAGATCAGTTGTGGATCTGCATCTGAGACACAGAGTGTTCTGCACACGCACGGAAGAATGGAAGCACAAGAATATAGCTAGAAGTCCACCAGGCCAACGCTGCTGCAATCCAATGCAGTACCTTAAGACACTGTGCCAACAAGCAGAAATCGAACCACCTCAACTGCTTCAAGTTCTATAGGACCAGCCTCTCCGCCAGACCAAGTCAGACGTCTCAGCATGAAGACAGTCAGGCAAGTGGCCTAGAGCCGAAACTATACACACACTCTGAAAGGCGCCGTCGCGAGAGTCGAGCAGGATGTTGTTTTCACTAAACACGCATTGAACGGGAAATTCAGAACGACAGCTTTCGCGAAAATTTTGCTCGCTGAACACACGGGGAGGCCAAAAGACTTGCTGGGGGGAGGGCCAACACATTGCAAGCAAGATACGAAAGACACGATGAATACCTACGAGGGTACCCCAGTCATCAAAACGGTTCAGGAAAGACACGACTTGGATCCAAAGCCCTTTCTTCTGCAGGTTCTCGTGATACCAGACCTTGGCTCATCACGAGACTCAATACTGCGGTCACTGCAAGCATTCTGCTTTCAATTCACGCAAACCACCACATCTCCACAAAAGGTAAATGCAAAAAGGGACACTCATTGACAGTCATATACGTTTCAACAAAACAAACTTAAATGCAAGCACGCAACGCAAACAACGCTGACCTTTCCCAAAAGTGGTCTGGTCGCAGCTCTTCCATATACGATCCGGTCTGGATCCTCCCCGCAGGCAAGATACACAAGTCAACTCCAAAGCATTGTGATTGAGCGCGCGCAAAATGAACTGTTGCACTTGCGTGCAATTGCAATACGTCGCTTTTTGTGGCCGGAATGAAAAGCAGGCTCCAGAGAAATAACAAAAAAACAGCACGTGCAATTATATACTCCTCGTCAAGGCCAAAGTTCTGGTGATGGATGCGGTGGCTGGACCTGTACTCTTCCAAGTCCTTGTAAACCAGGAAGCCTGCGCTCAACCAGAATCAATCATACTATATTCTCAAGCCGCAAGCCGCACAAGTCAATAACGGAACAGCTCAGGGACACTTTGCCAAGCCTGTGACTCTGGCGAGCCAATGATTCGACGGCCTGAGAAGATTGCCATGCCTCAAGGCGCTCCAAATAATTTTGGGCCCAAAACAACCCAATATTCGAGCACCCACTCCCAAGCTGAGCACGGGACGAGTGTTCATGAACCAAGTTTTTTCCAACGCGCGTTGCGCAATGGCTGTGCACACGAGGAGCAAGATCCATGACACACCTCACAGGGAATGCGCAATGCATCCTGTCATCATAGCCACCATACCCATCTCAAACACGTTTGAGCCAAGCAGGCCACACAAGGGTCTTCAATGGTCTTCAAACGTTTAACCGCATAGCTGCCTGGAAGTCTGCAGAAATAGCACGACAAACACTGCAATGCCAGCGTGATATGCACGCCTACCACAAGCAGCTCCTGTTCCACACATCGCTTCCAAATAGCAACCACCAGCTCGATAAAGAACCAAAAAAGCAGCAAACAGCCTGGACTCATGAGAAAATAGCGCACGCCAAATAATGCAAACTTACATCTGAGTCTGTCCGAAAGCCTTTTGAGCTGTGTGGTTCAACTGAATCAACTAGTTTGCTGCCTTGGTCATT